ATATACTTGTGTTACCATAAACATCCGTACACGTTGATATACATGACGTGTTAGCATAATCGTCCGTCCACATTGATATACTTGTGTTACCATAAACATCCGTACACGTTGATATACATGAGTTTTTACCATAAGCGTCCGTCCACATTGATATACTTGTGTTACCATGAGCGGCCGTCTACATTGATATACGTGGTGTGTTACCATAATCGTGCGTATACATTGATATATTTGAGGTGTCACCATAAATGTCCGTACACATTGATATTTGTAAGGTGTTACCATAAACGGCCGTCTACATTGATATACATGAGGTGTTACCATAAGCGTCTGTCCACATTGATATACTTGTGTTACCATAAACATCCGTACACGTTGATATACATGACGTGTTAGCATAAGTGTCTGTCCACATTGATATACTTGTGTTACCATAAGCGGCCGTCTACATTGATATACGTGGTGTGTTACCATAAACGTCCGTCCACATTGATATACATGAGGTGTTACCATAAGTGTCTGTCCACATTGATATACTTGTGTTACCATAAACATCCATACACGTTGATATACATGACGTGTTAGCATAAGTGCCCGTCCACATTGATACAAGTATAAGGAAAAATTTATTGCTAAATAAAAAAGCTATCTAGGGCTGGCTATTGAACTTGAAAAAATAAACCAAACAAGATAGGGATGGAAGTGGATATATCACTTGATCGGCTAATGATCAGCTAGCAGACTAAGCTGTCTCGACTTTACATGGAAAATATAATAAAAACCTTTGTAAGCAGTACTGAAAAAGAATATAAATTTAAATCACTAGGTGGCAGCAGAGGTTTATTACTACCATGGCTATAGATTTTTCTATACATCTATGCCCCCACACCCACAGTGGCTCAGTGACAGGCCTGAGGGCTTATAATGCTAACAATCTAGTTTCTATATTCATGTTGGGCACATCACAGGTAGCTTTGCACTTGACAACAAACAATCTCCCCCCCCCCTCCCCAACTCCAAACATCGCACTGTCGTTTCCGTCATACCTATAAAAAAGCACCTCAGATAAAATGAAAAACCACGTTTGCACTACTTTCTATCACAAAACCAAAGTTACTAATAGGTGACTTGCAATAACATGGTGTCAGTGTGGCAGTCACTGAAAGAACGAAGTTAAAACTATAGACATGGTATAAGACATGATATTTTTGAAATAAAACAACCACAAACAAAATTATCTTCACTAAATGAACTGTACTATACTAAATGGTTATATTTTCAAAACAAAAAATAAAAGTGATATCATCTAAAATATCTTGCCTAAAGTTACTCAATTCCTGAATACGTACAAATGAACCAATGTTACAGACATTATTTCCATCTTATAGTTATTGTTTCGTTAAAATAAATATATATAGGCAGGTAATTTATAATCTTCAAATCATGCAATGATTTTTCGTTTGATAAATAACTAAATAATCATCAAATGGTTTTCAAACGAGACCCAAAACTCGAGCGCTTTCGAAATAGTTCACTATTCTTCTTTAATCGAAA